AATAACCGGACCACCTAAAAATAAGTACTTTTTCAGCACATGGTTTACAGTACACATACATTTAACAATACTGTCAAGTTTCCCAACAATTTAAAGCACAGTACAACTGGTCTTGTGCAAATGCTTACTTTACCTATAGCATGTGATGATAAAAAGTTGTCCTCAACAGAAACTGAACATTATTTGAAAATCACATGTGGATATATATATACACAGTATATTGCACAAAATTATGGAAACACCAGCTAAAAGAATGAAATTATTACATAATATGGTGTTGGACCGCCTTTGGCACCTAAGTGGGCCTGAATTTTCCTGGGAATTGATAAATGTAAGTCTTGGATGGTGGATAATGGAATCTGATACCACTCTTCATGAACAAATTGTTCTTGCTGTCTCAGCCAATAAGGAGGCAGAGACCCAGGACGACCGAGGCTGTTGTTCACATCGATGGATCACAATGGGGCTCAGGTAAGTATTGAGGGGGCTGGGGGCACTGCTGCACACAGGTTTTTTACCTTCATGCATAGATTAGGTGGTATGAAACATAGAATATCATAGATGCTGTTCACAGCACAAAAAACTCCTTATTTTGTGAGGGGCTTATCACAAGTTAATACCTGAAATGTGAATGTGTCTTGTTTGACATCCCAAAGCAATCCATTGTGTAAGAGAAAGATCTGTTTTAGCTCAAAACCCTTTACAGCATGGTCATCAGAAGGAAATGCTTTCATTTCCTTGTCACTGTTAAAGATAATTTTGCGAAGCCTGAGGTTGGCAGTGACAAGCATATTGTAAGTTCTTTCGAGAAGATCAATTGCTCTTCTTCTGTAAGCAGAGATTTCAGCCTTTCATCTATGTAGAAATTATATTCCACAAATTCACCTGCATCAGAATCTTTTTCATCTTCTTGAGTTCTTCTCAGCCAATAAATTGCTACAGCAGTGGAAAGGCTGTTTTTGAAAATACACACTTTTCAGTAGTCTATGACTTCATCACTGACATTGTTGTGATACCATCTGTTTCTATTGTATTCTCAAACAATAAAACAGTGGAACTTTGCTGAATATTAACATAAAAGCAACTGGTTCTTGTCCAGAGCAGAGCAAAACTACTAAAAGGTTATTTAGATTAGGCCAGGTAGGAAAGTTATTCTTGAGGGAAACACCTTCATACTGAGCACTTAAATCAAAGACCACTTGAATCTGGCCTGGCTTGCATGGATTATACATGCCAAAGCATGGAAGGTTCCAGCTTTCTTCTCCTTCCTAGAGAAGTGGTGCAGGCTCTGCATGATCTCTCACCAACACCTTCTGCATAAAGTCAGAAAAGTGTTTTTTCTTCTTACGTTTTCTGTTCAGGGTGAGCTGTAAAGAAGTAAATTATGCTTCTGCATTCTGAACGTTATTTGGTCATTTTTTTCTTGAGGCACGAAAAGGTATTGGTGTCATCCAGCTGTTGGAAGTGTCCTGATAGAACTCCTTTCTTATATGTTGTAGTTTTTAGAAACTCCTTGTCTTCCATGGTTTCTGCCAGCTCATTACCTTTAGTTGCTACATCAAATATTGTGGTGCTGTGGTTCCATCCCAGAAATATAAGGCCTTGTTATTGCTTTGTGTGAAGAACTGTTGAATGCTTTTACTGCAAAGTCTTTCCTTGACATGGTAGACATATGTCTTGAAAGAAGACATGTGTCTTGAAATAAGAAACTGTGGAAGACCTCCTGACATTACCCAGATGATGCCTATGTTGACCCAGCCTAGGTAAAGGCATTGGGCATGAGGTGTGTCATGTGGCCCATTGATTTGTTGGCAGGCCTTGTGGACTTGTGTACCCATGGGATATCTCTGCCAAGAAGCAGGAGAATATCAGCATTTCTGTCAAGAGCTTGTATGTTGTCAGCTATGCCCCTCAAGTAAGAGTTGTGAGAGGCAGCTGCAGGATGTTGGTTGGAATCTGGTAGCACTCAATGAGAGTGGGCAATGGCATTTCTACACTACCATTCAGGGGAGCTACTACAAGATCAGTGGCACTCCTGCCTCAAACATCTGTAATGCCAGCACAGGTCACCAAGGTATAATGTAAGGCATATCCTGATATATTTAGCAGTTCAAAAAGCTTTGATCTTGCAAGTGACCTGTTACTCTGATCATCTAGTATAGTATATAATCTTACAGCTTTATCAAGCTGACTCTTGGGGTATACATGAACCAAGCATATTTTGGCATGGGTTTGTCAGAGACCTTCTCCACAGACATCTGTACATGTGGAGAAAACTGGAGTATGAGGCACTGTTTGGTCTGTTCTCTCCCATGCTTTGCCTTGGGAGGATTACCTGTAGACAGACTGTCTTGAAATGGATGTGCTTGCACGTGATCCTCTCTGTTGCATTCTATGTACTTAATAGTTGTCTTACAATCTTTAGCATGGTGTTCCGTGGAAGTACAGCATTTGAAAAAAACACCACATTTCTTTAAAAGCGCTTCAATTTGTGTTCTTGCAAGCAGGGGAAGACTGACCATTTGGAAACTCGGGCACTGACCGAGGGCTCGGGGGTCAGTAGGGGGCCCCATGAGATGCCCCTGGTACCTTTTTTCATAGGCTTTTTTGAGTTTGGGAAGGACACAGGGGCCCCATGATCCTCTATTGCCCAGGGGCCCCATGAGTTGTCAGTCCGCCCCTGCTTGCAAGGGTTTCTTTCTGAAGCCAATACTCTTTATAAATGGGTGTGGTTTGTAATGTATAGTAAATTGGTCATTTGAGTTCTTGAATTTCTTATTCTGATCAGTCTTTTCAGGGACTGTAGTAGGTGTGGGTAGAGTATCAATCCTTTTCACAGTCACTGAACCCTACGGTCTCTATGTGGAATTCATGAGCTTGCAGGTCTTGGACAAGGTGGGTTGACTCCCCAAAGGAGAAACTTGAATCATTCTTACAATCTGTAATTCTCCTAATGCACTCACAGAAGTAGGAAAATAGAGGAAAGGAAAGTTTATATTCTTCCTTGTACCTTGACCAAGCAATGCCCATTTTTCCTATATGCCATAAGATAACTTGACGACTATTGGGTTAAAACCATGAGTGGTATCTAAGTAACTGAGGCCAGGTAGGTAGGCATCATCTTTGGCAAGTTGAAGCGCCAAGAGGACGTTACTGAGCTTTTGAAACTTTACATTATCTCTGCTCGATATTCCTGGGAAAGTTTGAAACATTTTAAATAAAGCATTGTGAATGGCTCCTGGGTACTGTTAAGACCTGTGTCAAGGTTGTCAATGTGAACAGCTTTGAGTTATCTGACACATTCAGCGAATTGACTATCTAGCCACTATCTATTGGCAAATTGACCATCTAGCTTATCTATCTGATAAGCAGATCAAGTTCTTCTGTAGTTGTGACATCTGGTTTATCGTTGGTGGCTTTGAAGGTGGATTTCCACCCTGTGTGGTTTTCAGGTTTGCCTTTGAACCTAGTGAGACCTATCTTGGTGAGCTCTTTGTAAAACATGTATTTAACAAACTGTGACATGTCTGTGTTTTAAACTTTGAATAACATGCATGCATGTGGAACAAAGTCAATCACATTGAGAGGTGTGCAGAGATTGAGTAACTTTGGGAGGAATGGAGGTGCAAAGGCCTTTATACCTGACACTGGCTTAGAGTTTTTTGCCATGTTGGGTTGTGGCTGTGAAGCAGTATACTTAGTAGGAAGTAATTGAAGTAATTGAATAGCCCCTGGTAGGGCAGAGGTGGTGGTAGGCAAGCTGCACTGACATTGGTTGGGGGATACAGCTACTGTGGCTGGGAGATGACATTTTGGGAGAGATTGTGAGGAATATGATGCATACAAGGCAAATGAGTGCCAACTGCTGTTACCTCCTTCACTTTTGCCAACAGCTTGCATTAAAAACCCTTTACCTTGCCACGGCTGTGACATATTCACACTTTCTCCAAAATGTCAATCTCTGCTCTGTTGCAAGCAGCTTCTGCTTGCACCTCTGCTTTTTTGCGTGCAGCTTATGCTTCCATCTCTGTATCCATCAGTGCTTTCTTGTGTGTGGTTTCTTCAGCTTCTTCTTCCATCTCTGCTTTCATGCATGCAACGCTTGCTGCCATCTCTTTGTTTAAGAAAAAGGCTGCCTGAATTTTAGAAACTTTAGCATTGGCATGGGCTTTAATAAGTTGCTAGCTGAGTGTGGGAGACCTTGATTGTAGAAACTTGGTGGATCTGGAGGAGTAGCTCTCATAAAAATGCAGAGCAATGAGATTCATAACGTTTTGTGATTCTCACCTTTGTCTTTGGTTGTAGTACTAAATGGTATCTCTCTAAATTAAGCTCATCAAATCCTTTTAATTTTTCCTGTGACTTCAGTGTTGTACTGCTTTATGAGGTTAGTATATTTAAAGCAGTAGTGATTTTCTAAAAAACAAAATAGTCCCCCTGCAGATTATCATAATGTGCTAGTATGCACCTCATTCTAGCATATTATGATAGACTTAGCTATAAAATGAATCCCACCGGTGTGCTGTCACTGCTGATAGGGATTTTATCTTCACCCAGTCTTCCTTCTGGATTCATAGGCTCCAGCCATTTGAACGAGCTGCAATGACTTTACTCCCGCACATAATTTTATTGTTGGACATGATAGAAACTGCAGTTGGATGTTTTGAACAGCAGTTTTACTGATCGTGTTAATCCAACAAGAGATTGAATACAATGGGAAAGAATGTGGGTGGTGGTATTGGAAAGAGCCAGTTCCAGTTTAGCAGCTCAGGGAGCTCCCTTGTCCTTTCAGACATGTCAGGCCTCTTGGATATCACCATGATCTCCAAATTTTGGAAGAAGTTACAGATGAAGAATCTATATAATTTTTTTGTTATACTTAGGTGTTGCACACTCAGTTCCTGTTGCTCTATTTTCATTTAATTCTTGCTTTGATTTTTTGTAGGAAAGGCTTTGCAAATTCTTCATCTTTCATTGATGGAAGTCTGAATGAGCGGAGAAATCGAAGTATCCACCAAGATACCAGGAAAACATCAAAGGGGTAAGGCAGAGAGGAGAGCCTCAACCATTATATTGCATAATCTGGATTAAAGATTATCAGTGCTGGAAATGACAGCTATTATATACTTATATCAATGAGATGCCTCATTAGAGCTGTATAAAATAGAGGGACTAACTGACTCTGTCCTGTAACCATATCATTATCCTTACCATTTCTTAACTGGGGACAGATTCATACATCTACACCCCCTCTACAGCTGTCAATATCTGCCACCAGGATATATGCCACCCATGCCACTATCCATCTAACCACAAGTACCTCCACAGTAGCATTCCAATCAATTTCTGTCCAAAAGCTTCTTTAATCACTGATTTACAGCCATTAAAAACTGATAGCCATTGGTTGTGGACTAGTAGCAGGAATACCAATTTGTTCTTCTCTCACTTATAGTGTGCTTTTTATGTAGTAACTCTTGATTGATTGGAATGCTGAAATCACATTTTTTACAAAAAAAGCTAATACTTTCTATACCTGCTTCACAAATAACTTTGCATTGACTTTCATTCTAGACACTCCCACACCCGACTCCATCCTAAACACTTCCAACCAGCCTCCATCTTAAATACCTCCACATTGGCTTCCTTCATTAACACTTTTACACCAGCCTCAACCATAAACACATCCACACTAGTCTTTATTCTAAATGCTTCCAAAAAGCCTTCATTATAAACTCATCCACACCTACCTCCACCATACGCATCTGTCTACTGCCCCTATCAAAAAACATCAACCCCAACCTCAATCATATACACCCCCACACCAGTCTCTATTATAAAAACCTTCACACCAGCTTTCATTAAAAACACTTGGCCTCTGTCCTAAACACCTCCCCTCCAGCCCTATCAAAAACACCTCCACACAAATCTTTACCATAAACACCACCATGCTCCAGCCGCCATCATAAACATCACCACATCGTCCTCCTTCACAAACATCTCCTCATCAACTTTTATTGCAAACATCTCCATTCTGATTTCCATTATAAACATCTGCAAACAAGCCTCTGTTATAAACACCAATACATCGGCCTCCAACATAAACACCTCCCTACTGGCCATAGTTATAACAACCGCTATCCTGGTCTTTTTCATAAACACATCCACACAGGCACCAACCTTTACTAAGCACCTTCATAACCACTTCCATGATCAGAATCTCCACCCAATAATTTCTTTTAATTTCTGTTTGAAAACCTCTCCGAAACAAACTTCCATCACCTCCATTCACATCCTTGGACTAGCCACATCAACACCCTCCTGATTAGAAAAGTTCTTTGTGTTCTGCTTCGGCTTCCAATACTGAAGATGACTGTTTCTGTATATTAGCAATAACTGAACTCTGCAAACAGACTATGTCCTAATTCTTCTTACAGACTTAAACCGTACAGTTGTCTCTGGAAGCTTCGGGCTTTCTTCAGTGCTCCAATTGTGAAGTTCTACTATAATGTTGTGTCATATGTTGGATTTTTGTGGCTTTTTGCATATGTTCTGACAACTGATTTCCAGACCTATCCGTCATGGAGGGAATATCTATTGTACATTTGGGTCTTTACCATCTTCACTGAGGAGCTACGTCAGGTATCGTTAGTCGTATAATTATGATTATTAATAAAATATAGTGCTGTTGCGCTTAGGAATGCAACTTTGATAAGTATACGCTGCAGACTTCATTTGTGAACCAATAACACAAAATCAAACAAAATATCTTGTGGACCGCGCATAAATTAAGTGTATTAAAACTGGATGCTAAATAAGCCCCTAGTGTAGAAAACATGTTTCTCAACAAATGGGAAAAGGAGGAAATCTATGGTAAGACATGGCCTCATATGCGCGTCCACGTGGTATATTGTTTAATTATGATTATTATTGTTATAATCAAAGAAAAAGTTCACAGGTGATACATCTACAGGCAAAAGGCCCTAACACTCTCCCTCTACATGGTTGTTCACTGCTGATGGGGAAATATGGGCCTACGATTTATTTTACTTCTAAGGACATCATAAATGATAAGACATCATTATTTATGAACTTTTGTATTCTCAAGAAGCACTAGTTGGACATTAACTGGAGTTCTTTGAATAGGTATTTTTGAAGGTTTCCTGAAGAGTTTTATGTTAGTATGGCCACTTGGCTGATGTAAATAAGTGAGCCCTGAACTCACTGTCATTTCTAATATCTCCTAGGAAGTATATTTAATAGATCTTCCTGAGGGAGTTGACTTCAAAGCATGTAAGCACAGCTGGGACCTGTCTTTCATAGCAGCTAGTGACCTAAATCTGACCGGTATCTTGAGAAATTGCTATAAGTTTAAGAGCGCCATCCATTGACTGAAAGTGGTAAAGTCTTAAGATATGTGAAAAGGAGTACCTCTACCTGGATGGGTGGGAGTAAATGGGTAAAGGGATGGCATCTATATATAAGTATATTAAAAAAGCAAGAAAAATACCCCATCTCTCTTGATCTCTGGGCACAATGGGAATGTAAACTTGTCTGTATAACATATCTCCATCTTTTCTTTATCTGTAGCTTTCTCTTTCTGCAGTTGTTTCTGTCTGTTGCAACATTCGGTATGTTTAATTTCTACAAGTCAGCTTTTTTTACCAGCTACTTTATATTGTCATATTGTTTTTTGAGGAGGAGGGGGTGGTCAACTGTGTCAAAGGCAGTGGAGAGGTCCAAGAGCAAGAGTACGGAAATAGTGGTTTTAGCAGTTAGTAAAACTTCGTAAGGTGGAAGCTCAGCCGGTTTTAGACTAGACGTTCAAGGAGTTTGGAGGCAAGAGGGAGTAAGGAGATGGGTCTTAGGTTGTCAAGATTGGTGGGGTCCAGTGGGGCTTTTTTAAACATGGGGGTGACTAGCGCATGTTTTAGAGAGTTGAGGAAGATGCCAGTAGAAAGGGAGAGATTGAAGATATGAGTTAAAGAATGAAGGATAGAGCCAGAGGGTGACCGTTGTATTTGCAAGGGAACAGGGTCCAGGGGGCAGGTGGTTAGGTGGGCTTTAGAAAACAGTTTACCAACCTCCTCTATAGTAGGCTCGGTTAAACAAGGTGTCAAGTACCAGGAGCGCAGAGAGAGAGCACACGGAGACAGATTGCACGGAACCCGACGTGCGGGCGTTTATTGGGGAGGTTTTCAGGGTACAGACAATAGATCCGTTAGTCCACAGATCAACATCAGACATGGCAACACAGTAAAGTTCTCTGAAAGGCAATATGGAACAACAGGGGGCCGATAGTCCACAGGATTCAATAGGACAGTGGGGTGGAGGTTTTGTGAGAATTGGGGTTCATGGGGAAAATTGGGCTCAGTCTTTCGAGCAGCACGGGGTTAATCCACTTACTGGATGCAGGCAGCAGGACAGAGATGGTTACAGTCCACACAGGCAACACAGGGTCAATCCACACAGGCAGCTCCAGGCAGCGAAGGGTTAATTCCGCCAGGCTCACATGCAGCAAAGGGTTAGGTCTGCCAGGATCACGGGCAACAATGTGTTAAGTCTGCCAGGCTCACAGGCAACAAAGGGTTAAGTCCGCCAGGCTCACGGGCAACAAAGGGTTAAGTCCACCAAGCTCACGGGCAACAAAGGGTTAAGTCCTCCAGGATCACGGGCAACAAAGGGGTTAAGTCCTGCAGGAGCACAGGCAACAAAGGGTTAAGTCCTCCAGGCGCACGGGCAGCAAAGGGTTCATCCACAGTGAGGAGCTACAGGCAGCAGAGAGTTAACCCCAGGGATCCAGCAGCAGACTGGCAGGCAGGGGAGCCAATGAGAGAGAGGAGAGGAGAGGGATTGGAGCAATGAAGAGGCTGGCACTGAGCTCAGACCTCACTCACAGCAGCCAGGAGAACACTGGGGCCCTGCTCTGTCTTAAGTACAGAGCTGTGGTAACCCAAGACTTGGTGTCGGGTTACCATGGCAACGGGCCTCACTCCCCCACGTCTCCGGACCCGCACAGGGAACGCGGCCTTTGTCCCTGTCGGGCACAGAGTGCAGGAAGACGTGCACAAGGGGTCAGGGAGGGGGGTGACAGGAGGGAGCCTGCATGTGGATTCCCACAGCAGGGGGGGTCGACTTTCTGGCGCTCGGACTGGGAAGCAGGATGCTCTCTCAGCAGGGGGCCAAATTGCCGACAACAGGAGGGTGAGGAGCCACTGGGGGGTGATTGTATTAGATAAAATGAGGACTAGAAGTCCCAGCATGGACTGAACAGAAGATTGAGGGGCTGCTGAGGGGTGGGGGGTGGCAGGCAGCAAACCTGTAGGAGGGAAGGGGGGGGGGGGAGGACCAGCTCCGTGACACAACGGTAGTATAGATTGTGTAGGTGGACAAGGAGTGTAGGGTGAGGGAGATATCTGTACAGTGGAGATCTCGTCATGAATTGTATCAATCTTATTTTTGAAGTGATTAGCGATCTCCTGGGCAGTGAGTGAGTTAGTGGGTAGAGGTAGAGAAGGACAAAGTAAAGAGTCAAAGGTAGAAAAGAGTTGACGGGGATTGCAAGAGAGGGTGTTAATGAGAGTGATAAAATAGGTATGTTTGGCAGTGTGGAGACAAGAATTGTATTTTTTAAGGGCATATTTATATTGGTCGAAGTCTTGCTGGGTCTTAGTCTTATGCCATAAACGCTCAAGAGCACGACTACGTTTTTTGAGGCATCTGGTATTGTATGTTTGCCAGGGCTGTAGCAGTCGGGCCTAATTCTGTGTGTAGTGAGGGGGGCCAATGTGTCCAGGGTGGATGACAATGAACTATTGTAGACAGAAGTGGCCAGGTTGGGGCAGGACAGGGCTGAGATTTTGTCATAGAGACAATCTGTTGCCGAAAAAAGAAGAGAAGGGTTAAGATAACGAAGGTTTCTACGAGTAACTGTTTGGTAGTTGGAAGACAAGGAGGAGGAAGCCAAGGAGAGAGTGAAGCTAATAAGGGAGTGATCAGAGAGAGGAAGAGGAAAGTTGGTGAGGTTGCAAGGAGTGCATAGGTAGGAGAATACAAGGTCGAGGCAGTTACCATTCGAGTGAGTAGAAGCATGTGTCCATTGTTTTAGGTAAAAAAAAAGTGGAATTCAAAGACACTCCAAAAATCAAAGTGAAAAAATTATGCAGCAGGCTCGTTCTATTTGCTGAAATTTCATTGTAGCTACTTAAAATGGTAGTCAGTAGTTTGTATGGCCCCCACGTACTTGTATGCATGCCTGACAATGTTGGAGCATGCTCCTAATGAGACGACGGATGGTGTCCTGGAGTATTTCCTCCCAGATCAGGACCAGGGCATCACTGAGCTCCTGGACAGTCTGAGGTGCATCGAAATATGTTCTATAGGATTTAGGTCAGAAAAGCGTGGGGGGCATTCAATGGTATCAATTCTCTCATCCTCCAGGAACTGCCTGCATACTCTCGCCACATGAGGCCGGGCATTGTTGTGGAATCCAGGATCCACTGCACCAGCGTAGGGTCTGACAATGGGTCCAAGGATTTCATCCCAATACCTAATGGCAGTCAGAGCGCAATTGTCTAGCCTGTAAAGGTTTGTGTGTCCCTCCATGGATATGCCTCTCCAGACCATCACTGACCCACAAACAAAACAGTCACGCTGAATGATGTTACAGGCAGCATAACATTATCCATGGCATCTCCAGACCCTTTCATGTCTGTCACATGTGCTCAGGATGAACATTCTCTCATCTGTGAAAAGCACAGGGTGCCAGTGGCAGACCTGCCAATTCTGGTGTTCAATGGTAAATGCCAATCGAGCTCTATGGTGCCGGGCAGTGAGCACAGGGCCCATTAGAGGTCGTCGGGCCCTCAGGCCACCTTCATGAAGTCTGTTTCTGATTGTTTGGTCAGAGACATTCACACCAGTGACCTGCTGGAGGTAATTTTATAGGGCTGTGGCAGTGCTCATCCTGTTCCTCCTTGCATAAAGAAGAAGATAACTGTCCTGCTGATGGGATAAGGACCTTCTACGGCCCTGTCCAGCTCTCCTACAGTAACTGCCTGCCTCCTGGAATCTCCTCCATGCTCTTGTTGGGAGATACAGCAAACCTTCTGGCAATAGCTCGTATTGATGTGCCATCCTGGAGGAGTTGGACTACCCATGCAACCTCTGTAGTGTCCAGGTATCACCTCCTGCTACCGATAGTGACATTGACCCTAGTCAAATGCAAAACTAGTGAAAAAAGTCAGAAAAGATGAGTAGGGAAAAAAAATGTCAGTGGCATCCACCTGTAAAACCATTCCTGTTTTGGGGGTCATCTCGTTGTTACCCATCTAGTGGAAAGCATCCAAAGCAACTGAAACTGATTAACAACCTCCTCTGCTACTTAACCTCTTCACGCTGGCCGCACACAAATGTGTGGCCTCGCAGCATCTGGGCGTCTGCGTTGTGTGCAATTAAGAAAAAAAATATGTGATGAGAGCGCGTGCCCTGCGCCCTCCCAGCACACATGGCCGGTACTCACAGAAAGGTCCCGATCTCCTCTTTCAGTCGGGACCTTTCCGGATCATGTGACTGCCGTGACGGCGAATCACGGCGGTCACATGACCCTAAAACCCCGCCCCACCTCCCGGTTTCTGAAAGCCTTAAAGGGCCGGGAGGCGCCAGCGCCAAGGGGTTAACTGACCAGATAAATATCTCAGGAGTGTCATTGACTTGATGCTATACTTAATTACTTATTAAAAAGTGATTAAAAAGTGTTCCTGTAATGTTTTTCAGCAGTGTATTTACCATTAAGCAAATAAGTGAGGTGGTATAATTGTCAAAACACCACACACACACTACATTTTCTACACCAACAGTTTGCCCTTTATATAGAAAAAAGGCAGGGCTACAAAGAAACCCATGTCATAACAGGCAGAAATTGAAGCCCCTTACATTGGTGAATGTGGCAAAAACATACTATGCAAGGAATTATGTGCAAGGAAAATATAAAAAAAACTGTGTTTTTGCTTGCACATGATTGGATGGTGGAAGTCAGCAAAGCTTCACCTCATCCACTAAGTAAAAGAAAAATTCCTTGCCAAATGAAAAGGTCTTTGTCTTTAGTAAGTCAGCCCCACTGTATATCAACAAATATTTTTCTTGTGTTTTAATCTCCTCTTCATCTCTGTGTTATGTTCCTGCCATCCTGGCTGATTTGTTTATATCTCAGGACATGTTCTAATTCTTTTACTGCCTGTCTTCCTCCCAGCTGTTTTATGACCCGGAGCATCGTGGCTTTGTGAAGAGTGTTGTCCAATATATTACAGAGTTTTGGAACCAGGTGGATTCATTGGCTTTGGGATTATTCGCTGTTGGGCTGATATGCAGGTGAGGCATCTAGCAATAGCCCTCACTGTTTGAATTTAAAAAAGTGAATGTCTATTTAAAGTGGAACTTCATACAAAAGGGGAAGGTCTGCTTGTCTGCCTCCACTTCCCTCCCCTTTAAGTTTAGCACTTTTTTGGGAGATGGAGTAGATACCTGGTTTTGACAGTTATCCGCTCCCACTTCCAGTTGGATTGCTGCAGCTATCTGTGCAGAAGTTCACCCCCACCTTCCCCTGAAGCCTTCTGGGACATGGCATAGATCCCAGAAAGCTACAGGACAATTCATAAAGCGCAGCGTGGCTCGCCCATGCACAGTGGGAAGTCAGTTGTGATGCCACAAGCAATCACAGCAGGCTCCCCAAAGTAAACATGCCGGTGCTTAGACACAAAAACAAACTGAAGAGCTGGCTCATGTGAGGACTGCTCTGGATCCCTGGACAGGTAATGTCCTATTATTAAAAGTCAGCAGCTACAGTATTTATAGCTGCTGACTTCTAATTTTTGCTTTCTACTTTAAACAGTATCAAGATACAGAGGATGCAGTTCACCAACACAGATCCCCAATCAAATATTCATATTCAGATTATATTAAAGATGTAATTTATCAAGAATCTGATTTTTTAAAAAAAGTGCCAGTAGCAAAAAAAAAAAAAAAACCATAAATTGGTGAAACTAGAGGTATATAGTGAGAGAATAATTAGTAAAGGAAGAAAAAAGGATGCACAACTGGAGAAACAAGAGTCCCTCACAGTTCATAAAAGGTCAACTCCAAGTTCATCCTAGTATACTAGCTGCAGTACCTCGAAAACTGAAGCAATCTCTGTAATATTAAGGGAACAAAAAGGATACCAGACTAAGTGTAGTATTGAAAATGTTTTAATGATAAAAATGACAAGTGGCAACTCACATAAAGGAGGAGATAAACAGCATCTGTAATCAAAACTCATAGGTTTGGCAGCTGAGTGGTCCAAAGGTATCCCCCACTTCAGGTCAGGAAGCTATATCATCACCAGATGCCGGGTGATGTGAAGAAACCAAGAAGCAACTGGAACCAGGAAACAGGGCTCACTATGGAATGCAACACCGGCCAGAAATGATGTCCTGTGCTAGTGGACCACACAGAGGGCTACGCATTTAAGAGATGCCAAGCTCCTTTGTCAAGCCTGAATTGGTTCCTGGAAGGACGTTATTCATTTCCTTGGACTACAACATTCATTAACTCTGCAAAATGGCTAAAAAAAACCAAGCGTTATCTCAAAGGGATAAAAAAATCTTGAGGACAAAATAATTATCTGTATAATTTGTGTGTAATCTATGTATGAAAAAAGGCAAAAGGTGCAAAAACTATATAACAAAACCCTGTGCTTGTAAACACCAGCGGAAAATGAGTTGTATAAAAACCTTGATATGAACCTTAAAGCTGAATTAAATGACTGTATTGCCCCCAATCTCTTCACTGAGGCCACCTGGATTAACAGCATTAAGGGTATATACCCAGTATGTCTCTTATGCACATCATTTTTTAAAATGTTCAGTTAGGAGAAGATGCCCAGGAATAGACTTGATTGCCCAGACTTTGAGACCAGCCAAAGATTTTTCATGAAATACAGTGAAATGTCTCAGCACACTATGTTTGGGACTACATTCCTCAACAAAGTGGCGATGTACATCAGAACTCTTGTACAATATCCAGATGGTCCTACTCACATATAAGAGATCACATGGACATGTGAGGCTGTATACCATGTATTGTGATGAGCAATTGCAAAATGTGTTGATGCTGACTGTTTACCTGTTCCCTGTGAACTCAATCAGGCTATGTGTAAATGTGTTAGCAGGTTAAGCACTTTTTCCCTCCATTGAAATATACCCACAGGTATAGGTAAGGGTTTTTTGCATGCAGGCACTTTACTAGGTGCCTCTTTATTCTTAATACTGGGAGCTTTTCTGTATGAAAATCATGGTCTAATCCATTGGTCTACAAACTCCGGCCTGAGGGCCAGAGATGGCCCTTTGCTTGCTTTTATCAGGCCCTTGGGGCACTATTTCATCCAGTGATACCAACAACGGGCATAATTCCCTCTACTGACACTAATGAAGGGGCACAATTCCTCTTAATGACACTGGCGATGGGGCCCAATGACACCAATGGTGGGACAGAAGTCTTCCCAATGACACCTCTGATGGGGTGCCATTCCTCACTGACATCTCACTGACCTTTTTTACTCCCAATGGCCAATCCGGCCCTCCTAAAGTCTAAAGGACAGTAAACTGTCCCTTTGTTTAGAAAGTTTGGAGACCTCTGGTCTAAACTGTGAACGTTTAGCAAAGGTTTTTTTCCAGTTGTCTCCATTGGCTGCAGTCAAATAAAAGGAGGAGGCTTTGTCAACTAACTCAGATGGGTAACATTACTCCTAAAAACTTCTTTCTTAGAATTGAACTTTGCTGGATATAGTCATGCTAGTTGGTACAATTCAGTCTTAATCTACAGATTTGACTCTTGGGGATGTCCTGTATCCATCTGGGGTGATGACAATTCTTTTAGTGCCAATATGAATTTCTTGCAGTGGGCTTAAAATAGTTTTTGGTTAAAATGCTCTGGTCCTCGAGACCAAGCTCTAGATCTAAGAAGGCCAGTGATGTGGAATCACAAACAAAAGTAAAGGATAATCCAAAATCATCATTGTTACAATGAACCACAAACTCCATAACTGCTGATAAAGGGCAATCTCAAATTATAACTTCACCAAATCATTATTGTTACAATGAGCCACAAACTCCATAACTGCTGATAAAGGGCATTCTCAAATTATAACTTCACCAAATCATTATTGTTACAATGAGCCACAAACTCCATAACTGCTGATAAAGGGCAATCTCAAATTATAACTTCACCAATGTGACGGCCATAAAAAACTATATTGGCCACAAACAGATTAAAATTCCAAACCTATTTTGGTTCCCAGAGCCCCGTTGTGAGGTTGACATAACTGGGAGAGAAATGGGCTCCCATAGCTGTACCTTTTTTAAAGCATTCTCCATTGAATTGGAAATAGGTTATGCTTTAAACAAAATCTAGTAGCATCCAAAATTAAATTTGCCTGTTTATTATTTAATTGTGGGTCTGTGGAAAGAAAATAATTCACAGCACTGATGCCCATGTCGTGAGGTATAGAGGTGTAGAGAGAACTCGCAGCCAGTGGAACCCACAAATGCATGGGTTCCCAGGAATATGATTGTAGGTTCTCCAACAGCTGCACACCATCCTGAGTGTAGAAGGGAAAGCACTGGACCAAAGGTTGCAGGAAATTATCTATATATAGTGAAAAATGCTAGTTATGCTTTCCATAGATGCTACTATGGGGCGGCTAGGAGGAACATTGTTCAGCATCACTGCATTTTACAACTGCTCATTACAATACATGTCTTACATTATTATTATTATAATTATACAGTATTTATAAAGCGCTGATAGTTCACTCAGAGCTGTACATTACAAAGGGGGACAGAACATGTGACAGAACAATAACAATACAATGTAAAACATGAGGGGATTGAGGGCCCTGCTCTTTCGAGTTTACAATCTAGGAGGGAGGGGATGGTGGCACAGGAGGAGATAGCTGTGGGGATGGAGTGGTAGGAAGAGTGGAGGAGGTTGGCAAGTTAGCAGGGGGTGGGGTAGGCTTCCCTGAAGAGATAAGTTTTCAGGGTGCGCCTAAAGGAGAGGAGAGTAGGTGATAATCTGAGGGTTGGGGCAGGGAGTTCCAGAGGATGGGTGACACCCTGGAGAAGTCCTGGAGGCAGGCATGGGAGGAAGAGACCAGGGAACTAGAGAGAAGGAGGTCTTGTGAGGAGCGGAGTGTGCGTGCTGGGTGGTACTTGGATATTAGGTCAGTAATGTAGTTCGGGGCAGTATGGTGGACAGCTTTGTACGTCAGTGTTAGGATTTTGAATTTGATCCGTTGCGCAATCGGAAGCCAGTGGAGGGATTGGCAGAGGGGGGTGGCGGAGATGGAGCGGTTGGAAAGGTGAATGAGTCTGGCTGCCATATTCAGGATCGACTGAAGCGGGGATAGCCAGCGGCGAGGCAGGCCAGTAAGGAGGGAGGTTCAGTAATCGAGTCGTGATATGATGAGGGAGTGGATGAGCTGTTTAGTGGTTTCTGGGGTTAGGATTGTGTCCATGTAGTCTCCTATATTTTGGCGGGACCATTAGAACATTGAGCAAGAGATTTGGCGAACAACGCAACTTTATTGTAGTAGTCCCTCACATAATGTGCTGAGACATTTTGCTGAATTTCATGAAAAATCTTTACTTGTTTTCAAAGTCTAAGGGGATCTCCCCTCAGCTGAAACTTTCAAAAAGTTATGTGCATAAGAGATACAGTATATTGGATATACACTCACCGTCCACTTTTTAGGTATACCTTTTCAGTTGGTAACACAAATTGCCAATCAGCCAATCACATAGCAGCAACTCATTTAGGCATCTAGATGTGGTGAAAGACGACTTACTGAAGTTCAAACTGAGCATTAGAATGGGGAAGGAGATTTAAGGGACTTTGAACGTGGCATGGTTGTTGATGCCAGACGGACTGATCTGAGTATTTAAAAAAAACTGCTGATCTTGTGGGATTTTCATGCACAACCATCTCTAACGTTTACAGAGAATGGTCCTAAAAAGAGAAAATATCCAGTTGTGTGAACGAAAATGCCTTGCTGATGTCAGAGGTCAGAGGAGAATGGGCAGACTGGTTGCTGCGACATTCAGATGGTAGGGTCAGAATTTGGTGTACACATAATGAAAGCATGGATCCATCCTGACTTGTATCTATAGTTGAGGCTGGTGGTGGTGGTGTAATGCTGTAGGGGATATTTTCTTGACACTAGCAAGGTGTACCTAATAAAATGGCCGGT